TGTTGGGGTACTTTGTTACAGGACTTACAGTCGGGAAGATGGACAACTGGAAATACTGTATAACTCAGAACTCTCTTTCCACCAACGCCTCTATACGGACCTGGGAGCGATCTTCTATCACTTCTGCCTCTGCCAACCCCTCTTCACCATAACAAAGCACCCTCTGCTCTATGTCAGAGGGGTGGTTCCTTCGGCGTGTTTCCAAGCCTTGTCCAGGTATGGCTCCTCCAGATTCACAGGCAAGACATTACAAAATGAAATGTTGGCCAAGTAGAGTGAATATTTGAGACAAAAAAAATAGGACTGTTGGATATCTTTCCCCTGATGAAAGCAGTCTGTGGGCCTGAATTGCCCATAAGGGCAATTCAGGCCCACAGACTGCTTTCATCAGGCAATGCCCATCTGGGCAATTCAGATTTTAGATGAGGGATGGTGAGGCAAAAAAGCTTGGTTTTCTAACTGTGGACACAGTGGTGACTTGGTATTGGTGAGCCCGCTTTTGGTTTGGGCAGGAGATTACAATTTGTAAAGAAGAGAGGTGTATCAGTAGGATAGCACATCAGAAAATATCTGAACATAATTCAGATAGAAGAAAGAGAAAATTCTGGTGTCAGAAGCACCAGCTGGGAAGGATTTACTTCTCTCCCTGGTTCTCATAGAGGTGGTGCAGGATGGAGGAAAGGAAGAGGCCAAATAGGACTTGACAGAGCCAGAAAGTCACTTGAACTAAGTGGGGAATTCTAGAAACTATCTTCTCATGGTAACTAGAGAAAGGAAGAGTTTTGTGAGAGTTGGGGTGATATGTTTCCTGTTCCTGGCTTTTTGTTTGATTTATTTTTATGATTCATTGCTGGGTCTCCGCCAGGCTGCTCACTTTGTCAGTGTGCAGGTATCCACAGCTGTTTGCCTTAAAGCATCTCTGACGTTACATCTCGTGAGATGGATTAAGGAAAAAGAAAGTGGGTGAAGTCTTATGTGCAAATCTCTATCTATCTATCTATCTGTTTTAAAAATCTCTGAAAAAAATTCTACATGGTCTCTTTGTGTGGTTATTTGTAAATTAAGACGCATCTATTGAGAGGTAGAAAAAGGTACCATCCATCTTTGGTATGAGGAACTTGGGCTCAGAAAGCAGACATGAGCTGTGATTGCTTGCTTTCTTACTGGCTTGTGTAGATTAACTTCTGAGCTGAAATCCTGCCAAGCTTATTTGAAACGAATGGGGACATTTAGTCTTGAGACAAGAGTGAATGTCTCCTAGACATTAATCTGATTTCATAAAACGATTTAGGTATGTGCTGGCAATATTTGAGGTATAAAATAAAATAATGCTGCTTGTTTTAGATACTTGGTAGTTAATTTTCTTGTCAAATTTCATTGTAGTATCTCCAGTCTAAAAAAAAAAAATTAAATTAAATCAGCAGGTTGGCTGCTGTGCACAACTTGCTAGATGGCTGCAGCTCAGGCTCCTGCAGGGAGAGTGAAGGTTTCAGGATGGCGGGGATAATTTTAAATGCAGGGGGTCATTTTTCCACTAGGGAGAGGTGAAGCTGCAGGAATGATCGCTATATTTCAGTGCACTCATCCCTATAAAATCAGAGAGAACCTTGGTAAAAGCATCTTTAGTGGCTGAGACGATGTCCTTGGAGACAGCAGCTCTTTCCAGCAGCCCACCCTCACAGAGGAGTGAGTCGTGTCTGCCAGGCTTTGGGTGTTAGTCCTTGTTGCCATACCCCCTTGCTGTGCTTGGAGTTATTCAGAGAAATACAGATAAATTCTTCACTGCAGTACACAGACTGTGACTGTGTTCAAAAGCAGTCTCTAACTTGCAGAACTCCTGGTTTGTTTTGTTAGTTTTTGGTTTGCTGCAGGCAGTCAGTGGTTTAATGTGTGCACACCAGAAACTGCTGCCTCTTGACACATGTCCTTCTGCTAGAGCTAGCCAGGAAAGGGATTTTAACTGTAGAAGAACTAATGCACATGATCTATATGCACAAAGTCCAATTTAATTTTTAATACACCGATACAAACTCAACTTGTGTCATTAGTGCTGATGCAACTTTGAAATGAATGTGATTCATCAGTTGCATGTGTCGTTCAGAAGTAATGGTAAGAAAATAATGTTGCAGTAATTTGACAATTGAACTCTTTTACAGTAAAGTTACTCTCCTCAAATAAAGAATAGCCATGTGATAAATGAATTATCAGTTTTCCACTTGGGGTAAGGAATCATTGCACTGTGTTTGGCTCTCAGGTGAGTTGCTACGTTTTGTGGCCTCTGCTCTGGCCCGAGCCAGAGGGGCTGGGAATCGAAATAAATGTGTATATACTAAGTGTGTGTGTGGGGCTCAATAGACATCACGTATTTAGAACTGCTTTTGTGTTGATACTAGTCTTTTCTGGCCAAATTTAGTGAATGAAGAGAAATCAGATGTGAAGTAACCAGTGGAACCAGTGTGCATGAAGGGAGTAGCCAACTCCCTTTGCTCCCTTGCTTTACTGCCTGTCCAGCCAGAGGCTAGAGAAGTTTCAGCAGCTAATCATTAACTTGCAGCTAACCCCTCATAGGTTTATTAAACTGCTAAACCTCTTTATTGCTGCTAAGTGCCAGCAGACATGAACTGACCTGAGCTGCTTCAGAAATAGGCGTTTCAAGAAGGTTTTATAGTTTTTGCGCAGTAACATTAACTGTAATGATTTGATTGCAGCACAGATTTTGTACACTGGTAACCAGTTGCTGTCTATTTGTAGGCTCCATTCCCTGTGTCACAGCAAGAGGCTGAGGGATGTAATCCGTGGGGACCTGCTGCCCTCCCCAGAGATGGTCACCCTCTTGAGTCACGGCTACGGAGCTCCCCTAGCTCCTGAGGATCTCTGCGCTCCGAAACCTCCTTTGCCATCACTTTCCTCTGATGATAACACCCTGCCAGGAGAAGTGAGCAGAGTGAAACAGGCAGTGGATGTGCAGCAGAAGAAAGAAAGAGCAGACAAAATGTCTCTGGAGAGAAACCCTGTTGGGGTGAGTAGTTTGCCGTAAGCGAGAGGGGAGCCTCGCAGTTGCAAAACTTCATATCCTTAATCAACACCTTCATCTACTGGAACAGTGACTCATGAGACTTAGAAACTTCTGGTAGGGTGTTTGTAGGTAATGCACAGACATTATAAAAACGTGCAGGGTCATTTTATTTTGTGAAAGTTGAATCTCAAATGTAATTGATTCTCAAGGGGAAGGACAATTCCAGTGCTTACAGGTAAACACAGGAGACACTGCACGAGTGGTAAAGGAACTGATTATTTAAATAAGCTTGTACTTTCTTTTGGGGTTTGGTTCCTATTTTGTCTCTTTCTTCTCCACATTGTGCTTTAACATGTCATCCAGGCTTCAGATGCTTGTGGGACATCAAGTCAGCTCAGCTCATATGAAAATTGTGCTTTATTCTCTTGGCACGTGACAGACCTGCTTGCCTTTGGGCAACCATGATGGCATTTATTCTTAACTAGATAAAGTCAGCAGTCACAGACAGAGCTGAGCTTTAAGGAAATGGTGAAGAATTTTAGAACCTCTTCTGCCTTGTCACCAGTGTCCATTTGTAGTTGCCTCAGGGAAAATGCATTGAAACCAGACCCTCTCCTGTTAGTGCAGACCCCACAGGAGGGGTGTCCCGCATGGCTTCTGGGAACCTGAATGATTTTTTTGGAATATATTGCTTAGCTGAGGACTCTAACTGTCCCATGGTGTGTGAAGAACAGTTCTGAATGGTTTTTCCTGTGTGTACAAAGAGGTTTTGCCTGATACGCAAAATTCTGTGTTCCTGTATGAGAGTACTGTCTTGGAGATACTGAAAGACATTGAACTCCTAAGTATTTTCTTTTTCAGCCTTAGTCTGTTGATAAAGGAATATTGCATGAGGTTAGAAAACAAGACCATCTTGAGTAATTGTTCCTGGTGCTTGCATTTATAACATCACACAAGGATAAGAGCAGCAGAGCACTTGGGCCTGTATAGATAAAGTGTAGAGTTATTTTGTTATTTATATAAACTTAGCAGTCTTCTCAGTGGGCTGCCACTGCTCCTGCAGGATGCCATGTGCAAGGGTGAAATGGAGCTGTTTCTCTGTAATAGTCTTTTTGTGGAGTATTTGATTAACAAAGAGCTGTTGTGTAGTAAATCTATATAAATACAGATTATGTTTTGCTGGGGTTTTTAAAAGTTTTGTTTTTTTCTTTTAATGTTTACAGAATCAAGGAAAGATGAAAAAGCCAAAGTTTGAAGCTTTCAGGATTTCTCCTGTTGATGGCAAATCTGTCTTTAACTACAGCTGCCAGAGCCTGAATTCTGCAGAACTTGCAAAGAAGTGTCTTCGCTGGGAAATGGCAAAGGTAAAATGAGACACACAACTGGAAGATCTTGGCTTGCTGTGTGTAGGCCTTAAACCAGAGAGATGGCTTAAATAGCTTTACAATAGTAACTTCCATATTAGCACAGAGGAAGGGAATTTGGCATCCAAAAAGAGAGGCATTCTTTGTTGCTGTGAAAATTCTGCTCTTCATGCTGTTTGTTACAGTCAAGTTGTCTCATCTCCATGCCTTGGGCTGATGTTTTGAGTGCAGACGTTGATAACCTCCGTGGTCACATCCCGTTCTGTCTCACTTATTAATAAGTGGGACAATTTGAGTAATTGCAGCATCGGTGTATGTGGAATTAAGTGATCTGAAGAACAAACTTAAGAACACATTTGAAGAATCACATTTATCTGCTTTTGTCTGAATAGCTGGCTTGAATCTTAATAACAAATGCTATTTTCCTGTCAGCTGGTGGAAATGACTGTAGCTCCGTGAAAACAGTTGATGATGTACCATGAAGAGTATGAACCAGAGTTCTCTTTTTGTGCAAATAATATTAAAGATACTTCTTTCTGTAATTATTTTACAGACATCCCATTATATCACTTGCAATTAATTCCATCATTGGATCATAATAGAATTAAATTTTTTTAAAAATGTTTTAATACATGATATGTTGATATCTATTTATTGATACATATTTAATGATATATATTTGTATAATTCTGTTCTATGATTATGTGCAGTCTTAAGGAAAGACTGTTCTGTACCTTAATGGGCTGTTCTCCCACCAAAGGGGAATTAACATCAACACCAAAAAAAAAATAAAAATCTTTTTTGTGTAGGAACCAAAGAAGAGAAAAAAAATAAATCTTTTTTGTGTAGGAACCAAAGAAGAGATTCACTTATTGTCATGAGTATCTGTCAGCCACATTTGACCCGGTGGATGTGGATGCTGCCAGTGAGGAATTCCTTGCAAAATCCAAGAGTATGTGGCTGTCACCAGATGGATTTGTATTTCCTGGATTTAAGAGCAGCTTTGAAAGCAACTTGCACCCTCGGATGCCTGATGAAGCACGTGTGGAGGAGTTAAGGGAGGTAACAGAAGGCTTAAATCAACAGTCCCAAGGGAACTCAAGCATTTTAGGAGACTTGAAAGAGGCAGAGTGCTGTGGTTTGTGGAAGTCTCTTTAGAGGGGTACAGCTTTAGCAGCTTTTTTGAGGGTGCTGCCTGTGTTTGCGGGTTGGGTCCAGCAGCATCTGGCTCACTCAGGTAATATTTTGTTTGCATACACAAATCCTACCCTGAACTCATACAGAATTGCCAATATTAATCGGATATTGATAGGTATTGATGGACTATAGAGTGTTTTGGTTTACATTTACAATTGGTTTCTAGTGTCAGAAAAAATCATAATACTGCATGCCATGATGGATGGGTTCCAGGCTGCTCTTCATGTGTAGCCTTCCTTCATGTTTCTAAATGGACTATAGAGTGCTTTGATTTACAATTGGGGTCTAGTGTCAGAAAAAATCATAATACTGCATGCCATGATGGATGGGTTCCAGGCTGCTCTTCATGTGTAGCCTTCCTTCATGTTTCTAAATTCCCTCACAGCTTATTTTTCCTTCATCTTTTATTTATGGTTTGTAGTTACAGTTTTATGGGGTGTTTGTCCTCCACCACTGTGTTCTCTGTCACTTTCCTTCTGCCCTGTGTCCTTTCTTCTGATCCTTCTCCTATTTAGCTTCTAGTTTCCTGGATCATCACCTTGACCAGGTTACAGTTCCCTGTTTTGAACAGTCTTCAGCATTGTGCATACTTTAGTGCATGTGGTCTGCATTAGGAAGAAAATTTATATGTTATTTGAATGTCAAGATGAGGAAATAAAGGGAATAGAATGGGGGTTTTTTTGTGCAGGATCAGTAAATTCTACTAAATTAATGGAACACAGTCACGGCACAGAGTGGAACAAGCTGAATGCTTGGGGGCTCGTTACCGTATCTTGCAAGAATGTGTACATGTTCATTTCATTTTCAGACTTTATTTATCTCAATATTTTTTTTTCATACAAGTTAAAGTAGTTTCTCAAAAAGGTTACAGTATAGCTGAAGTGAAAAGTGGTTAGTGAAACCAAAGTGCTTTTTCCTGATGATGCTGGAGAATGGATGTTCTCATGAAGGAGCAGAGAAGGTTCCCCACCCAAGAGCCAGCCAGTACGGTGTTAATTACTGGTGCCTTTTGCCAAAGAGACAAAAAAGAGGTGGGGAATTAGGCAGTACAGGATCAAAACCTGCCAAGCTGGAAAGGGGTAACTGGGGTGACCACACTGAAATGAATGAGGGTAGGAGTTGGTCAGTGTGTTGTGTTGAGCACTGTCACCTCCTGACGGGATGGGAGCAGGGGTGAGAGCTGACAGCCTGGCAGTGCCACTGCTGTGCAGCATCGGGGCAAGCTGTGGAGTCAAGAGAGGAGAGGAAGCCACCAACAGCATTATATGGGGTAGTAGAGATTGATTCTGGACTTACCATTCATGTCACCTGAAAAGTGGAACAAGAGCAGAAAGCTGTTTGGGTCCCATTCTGAAGCAGTGCAGTTTTGACACACTGCCTCTTCAGCTGTACTGGTTTTCTTCTCAAGCACAGGATTTGACCATCTTCTGTAACACCCCTGGGAGGCAAAAAAGTTCTTGGAGTTCTTCTGGATTCTTAAAGTATCTGTACTGTTTCTGTGCAGTAACACATCTGTACAATATGTGTAATAGCACTGTGAAATACCTGTGTGGTTTCTGTACTGACTCAGCCATCCTTTAACCGCACGGTTTTAGGTCAAACAGTGAAAGAACAGGGCTAACAACACACAGTGGGGTTAATTTGGAGCTTGGGAAGGGTAGTTTTGTCTGAAAAAACTCTAACTGGGATTTCAGCAGTGGGTAGTCAGGGGACACAAAGGTTGAGCTCTGTTTTGCTGTTGTGATGATGAATGTTCCTGCTGTGGTTCCACCTGCTTCCTCGGGGCACCTGGGCTCTAGGCCCCAAGAGTTTAATCCTAATTGTATGTTTAGAAGCACTGGGACAAGTTCTGCTTTCTAAAAGCACTATGTTTTACCGTTATCCTTGAGGTGATGTATGGCTCTCGCTGTGCTGGCAATTCTGCACAGCCAGCCCACCTCTTGCTGCTGGGAGAAGAGAAATACCTGGTGATGGTTGGGACTGGGTCTGGCCTCATGCAGGCCCACCACGCGGAGGGGGACAGTGGGATGGACTCACCCAGGGAGAGGGATGGTCCAAGCTGCAGGTTTAGCAGCTGTGTATGAAATACAGCAACGTGCCTGGGACCCTTTATAGCACTGCAGAGAAATGTGACATAAATATGAAATCGAATCCCCTGGCAGCTATTTCTCAAGTATATTGTTAGTGCCTGTGTGTTAGATAGCAGCTCCCTGCTAGAGTGTCAGCAGCTCGCTCACTAAATGGGTTTTTGTTCTTATTTATGGGTGTCAAACACAACAAACTGCAAGGCTGCTTAGAGAGAGAAATGGTCTTGTGCAGCGCAGTCTGGACTTTGGTAAGATCCTGTTCTGGGAGTTGGTAGATCGCTACCCAAGAAGCTGGCTGACTTAATTTTGTGACTCTTCCCTGGTGACTTTGGCCTGTTTTCTTAAAGGGATTCAATTTTCATTTAGAAATGGCAGGAGAATGCTCTGCACGCTAACCTGAGGCCCGTGCTGCCACGAGACAGATGGGGCTGGGACAAACGGCACATTGATTTCGATCTCTATAAGAAGCCACCTGAGCACTTCATGACAACAGCCCCACGGACTGGTAACGGATCTGTTAAAATTAACTTAATCACAAAGCTTTTAACTTGAAGCTCTGACATATGGTCCCAAAGCTTGTTGAGTTCGGCCATCGAGGAAGGGAGTTTGAATGCAAAGAGTTTTAGCAAGGAGGTCCATGGACAGCAAAGCTGTTTGTACTCGAGGAAATGAAGCATCTTAGGATGTAAGACCCTGGCCATACTCCAGTCTTACCCCTGCATTTACCCAGCTTGTTAGCCTGACTGCCTTTGTTTGCAGTAACATATGACAGGGAGGAATAGCTCCTTCTTGGCTTACTCTTCTGTTGGCTGCCTGATTGTCCTTTGTGGAGGTTGATGACAATCAGCTTTAATTACCAAGGGCAGACAAAAGGCTGCCTCCCAGACCATAAGTGATACCAGAGAATTGGTCCAGAGGGGGCCTGAGATGAGCCCGTTACAGCTGCACGCTGCGGTGTCCCTTGGGGAGGGGGGCACTGTGTGACCTCCTGGTCTCCCACAAAGTTATATTTCATTATAAAACGGTATTTTGAGAGGTTTGCCATGTGTTTCTTTTTGCCCGGAACCAACTGAGAGTCACTGCCACATTTACAAGCAGAAAATAATAGATTTATTGTGGTCGCTAGAATCTTCGTCTTTGACAACTTTTCTGCTGCACGTTTCCCTGCAGCTTGCAAAGCAGTTGCTTAGTGCAGTTCTTCTCAAGTGCTTCATACAGAGGAAGGCTTTGGGAAGCAGTCGGGATAATTCCACCTTCACCTGTGTTTTATGGAGCCTGCAGGGCAGTGCTGTGGGCAGCAGCCATTATTCTAACACCTGTGTTTCTTCTAGTGGAATCCTTGGGAGAAAGGTTGTTCTTTGCTTTCAGCCTACTTTTTGGGTTTTTTTAGTTCAAACAGCCGAAACTCAGCTTTTCCATCTAACTGCTTTCTGTTGCCTGGTTTCTCTTTTGCAGTCCGTTGTTGGCCTTGTGAAGATGCTGCTCAGATTCTGCAAACTGCCTCTGACGATACCGAGCTGGAAGCTCACCAGGGCTCCAGGGCAGCCCAGTCTGGGCCACGGGCCAGGCTCCAGCCTCAGAAGCTCCGAGGACTTCTGAAAGATGAGCCTGGGAAGTTGTCACTGGGGAGGGCAGGGCCAGTTTGGAAGGTAACTGTGTGACTGACCTGCCCCCACCTCTGTGCAGCAGCAGCTTTGTGGAAGGCAGAGAACTTGCGACGCTTCATTTAGCACAATACTTTCCACAGTAAAAGTATTTGTTAAAATTGGTGTTGGTAGCTCTGGTTGACTCAGTCTTACAAAGCTCCTAGAAAAATGTATGAGCCTGGGCACAAAATGATTTATTTTTTTTTTCATTCCTTGCTTTGATGCTCAGAGATAATGGAGGAAGGGGGAGAGTTTCTGTTCAATTAACTAACTTGGCTGTCAGTGTGCAGTGGGTGAGAAAAGAAGAACAATTTCTGGCCAGCTGGCTTAGCAGCTCTCAAAGAAATGGTAATGTCCCCTGATGAACCGTCGGGGCCGAGGCACTTGTATCAGGGAGGTGCCAAATGTCTCCCCGTGTGCTCCCTTCATCCCCATGGAGCTGTGCAGAGCCCTGCGCTGCAGCCCCTCGGCACAAACCCCCACACAGACACCCCGCTTTGTGAGACTGAAGGCTTTGTGCTCCTTCATTTGCAGAGCTGTCTGGGTGGCCTGCACCTGACTGCTCCTTTGTGGGCCGAGGCACAGGCTCTGCCTCCACGGAAACCACTGACCCCGGCCCCGAGCCTGCTTTAAGGCTGATTTTGATCAAAGGGGCTGAAGCTCGCTCTTGGCTACAAATGCTCTAGAAAAACAAACACAGGAACTAGGAGAGTGTTGGTAACAAAAGCAGAGTTAAACCTTTGAGGCCAACTCACTGCCACCCACCCTCCCTTTGGTTTTTTTTATTTTAATATCCTAAGTGCCAGCTTTTGTGTGAAATGGACGCTCGGCACCAGCTGCCTCCTCAGCTCCCAGTGTCAAGCTTTGAGCTGCGCAGCCCTTTGTGCTCCCTGGGCCTGCCCTTCTGCTGTGATGGGGCTTGGATTCAAACTATGAAACTTGTCCACCTTGGACTCTTTGCCCGTTTCCTGTAATTCCAATATATTCCAACACACAGCCCTTTTTGCCAGACTGCACAGAAATACTCCTGTTAGTTTATTAGCTAACGTACATCTTGCACTTCATGACATTTTAATTACAGCAATCAGACTTGCCTCTGTCCTGTCCCAAGTTTCTTGAGCACCTTTTTGAAGCCTCCCCAAGCCCACGGGAAGGTATTTCTCTCTTGCCTCACTACGTAGGCTACTTTTTTGCCAAGACAACCCTTTACAAAAGAGATGTTATGGACATTGACTTCCAAGGGTCTGCTTTGGAAGAGAGATCAAAAGAAAAAAAAAAAACACCACAAAACAAACCAAACACCCCCACAAAAAAGCACTGCATTTTTAGTACTTGCTTTTAATAATTTCCAAACTAGCCTCCTTTTCCAGTACAGTGTTTTTCCCCTGACAGAAAAAGAAAGAAAACATCCCTGCCGGATGGTGTGCCTTGCTGAAGGAACACAGAATTTAAATATATCCATCCATGATGGATATATTAAGGCTGAACATCCAGAGTCACAGTATCACATCATCATTTATTTTCTGCTTGGTTTTTTTAAGGTTGTTTTCAGAGGGGGGACCCAGTATCTCCACTAGCTCAGTGCCATTGCCTGCTGCCATCTGTGCATTCTTACGCTGTCGTGTTCTCTGCCCATTTGTCTCTCTTGGATGGGCTCCTCCTTTACCTGATGATGGGTTTTGTGGTATTTTTCTTTAAAAAAAATAATCTTTGCAGCAGCAGCAAACCTGGTTGTGCTGTGGGTGGATTTTCCTCCATACTATCTAAGCAGTGTAATTCCCTGAGGAGGGTGCCTGGCTGGTGGATGCCACCTGTCTTCTCCTTCGCCTGATGATGGTTTTTGAGGTATTTTTCTTAAAAAAATATATCTTTGCAGCAGCAGCAAACCTGGTTGTGCTGTGGGTGGATTTTCCTCCATACTATCTAAGCAGTGTAATTCCCTGAGGAGGGTGCCTGGCTGGTGGATGCCAGGTCACACCACCCGAGCAGGGCTGGGCATTGCGGGAGGTGTACAGATATGGATATATTTATTTATGCTGGATATAAAATTTGTATCGTAAAGGCTTTGAGCACAAAGGTTGCATGTAATGGTGTTTTCTTCTAAGTGATCTCAAATCCAGACCACACCATGTGCTGTGAACATTTCCAAGCCTGTGGGTGAATGCTCTGTGGCTCATTTGTGTAATAGTGTATGAGTGTGCAACAGCTTTTGTGTTCTTGTCCATGTTTTGGGGAATCTGTGCATCTAAAAATGGCCTCACCTTGGTGCTCAGAGGCACCTACAACTTCTGTGTGGGCACACACACCTCACTTCTTCCTTTTTTTAAAGGCTCCCTGGCCGAGTGCCTCCAGAGCTGCTCTTTTCCTGTCCCAGCCCATCCCCGCGCGAGGTGTACAGATATGGATATATTTATTTATGCTGGATATAAAATTTGTATCGTAAAGGCTTTGAGCACAAAGGTTGCATGTAATGGTGTTTTCTTCTAAGTGATCTCAAATCCAGACCACACCATGTGCTGTGAACATTTCCAAGCCTGTGGGTGAATGCTCTGTGGCTCATTTGTGTAATAGTGTATGAGTGTGCAACAGCTTTTGTGTTCTTGTCCATGTTTTGGGGAATCTGTGCATCTAAAAATGGCCTCACCTTGGTGCTCAGAGGCACCTACAACTTCTGTGTGGGCACACACACCTCACCTCGTCCTTTTTTATAAGGCTCCCTGGCCGAGCACCTCCAGAGCCGCTCTTTTCCTGTCCCAGCCCATCCCCGCGCTGCCGGCGCTGGGCAGCCAGCCCAGTGGGACCAGTGACCTCCTGGGAAGCAGGAACAGCATCACTGGTGGCTTTGCACCAGGTCCTGGTGACCAGCACAGCCTGAAGCACCACAGGAACGGAGAGCATGGGACCTTTGGAGAACTCCAGGGCACAGAGTTGCGGTAAGAGAAATTAATTGCTAGAAATAGCACCAGTGGGCCCACGTCGTTTGGTATGGTGTGTGTCAGAGTGCCACAGGATCCAGGCGTTAGAATAGGTAATTACCAGGGTGATAAATTAAATTCTTATGGTGTATCCCAAAGAGACAAACCAGTTATACAGGCCAGCTTGGCGGGTCTCCAATCCAGAATGAAGGAATCGTGTTTGGTGAACCCTGGCAGTGGGTGTCACTCTGAGGTACGGGGGTGGGCACGGGGGGAGCGTTCCCCAGAGCTCAGGGACACTTCAGCCTGGCCTCGCGCTGGGGAACGTGGGCTGCAGGGTATCTGAGCCAAGATCTAAGCTCTTGAAAAGCAATTTTTACCTTCCCAGTTTAACTGCTAGAATTTTGAGGAAGTTTCATGTTATTTGAACTTTCTGAACTAAGCTCTATCAGACAGCAAATCTTGCATTATCAGGAAACTTGTAGTTTCTGTCTTGGTTACACACGGAACAATGTGTGGTGTTTTAATGGCTATTTTGTTCTTTATTGTGGGAGATGAGTTCTGGCCTTTATTTTGCTGTCATGCCATCACACAGTCTGAGGTACTGCTTTGCGTCATTTAATTATTCAGTTCTTGCAGAAATGTAATCTTGGAGGATCCCACAGCAGATATAAATGATGCTTAACAAGGTCAGACATTGCCCTTTTGCACATCAACTTGTGACACAAGGATTATTAGCACGTGTGTTGAGCCTGGTGTTTACTGGCTTGGCCACCAGCTCTGTCACCCATTACTGACCCGATGGCAGATGTTGGCAGAGCCCACAGCACCCGACGGGCAGCGTTCTGGCACCACATCACCCTTCTCCTTTGGGCTGTTGAGCAACCAGAGTGAAGGAACATACTCTTAGTAATTGATGAACGTGGTGAGCTCATTAGTTATTGCAGTCAATTATTTAGTAAACATCTTTAATTGAAAAATTGCAACTCTATTTGGAATTTGTAGATTAAAGAGATACAGCGTCATCTAAGAGTCCTTTTTCAGCCCAGGTTACTCTGCCATAAACAGTCATTTTGTCACCTGGGAGAAGCAGCTGCAAGGGCAGGAGGACACGCCACCACCCTCCCACAAGAGGAAGACTCTCTCTGGAATGAGACATTAGAGCAAGTTATTCTGGAGACAGATAACGTGGTAAAGAGAAACCACCCCATGAACAGGTAATTGGTGGTGTGTCCCTGTGACCACAAATAATGAACTGTGGCCAGCAAATAGTCCCCAAGTATGAGGACACTATTGAGGGTGTCACTGGATAAGACTGACCTTGCAGGGATAGTTAAGAGGCAGCTAAATTACATTTCAGGGTTAGCAAGAGGGTAGGGGGAAAAAATGTGTAAACTGTCATCAAGTCTAAATAATGCTAATGAAAAATCAGTTGTGAGATTTTTTTTTTCAAGAGAGCTGACAACTTATATTTAAATAACCCCCCCTATTCATTATTTTTAAAATATAAAACAAAGCAAAGGGGTCAGTGTGAGGCTTAAGACCAAGGCCGAGAACAGAACATGGAGAGGATCTGATTAAATGAGAGGGAAAACATCAAAATGTGGGCTCAGAGAGACCTCACCCTGGAGGGAGCTGGTGCTGCTGCCCCCAGGGTGCAGGACACATGCCCTCCCCAGTTCTGCTTCCCCAACTCTTTTGTGCTTCTCTACAGGTAAGTAGTTGATTTAAGCATAAAGATACTGACAAAAACAGCCAATCCCTTCCCTGGGAAAGCACATCTCACCATCAGCTGTCCTTATCTAGCTCCCAGGAAACAGACATTGAATAAGGCAACTTGAGATGTTAATAAAATTTCTTTATTAATCCTCTTTATATGAAGGTGTCTTTAGAAATTTTGTTTTATACAGTTACAGCTAATTACATTTGGTAAACTCGTAAAATAGTTATTTTTAATGTGCAAATAATACTTGAACTGCAGAGAATTAGCCACTGGTTTACATTCATGGGTATTTGATTCAGGGGAGGAATCAGAAAGTCCTGTCCAGGGGGTGGGAGCAGGTGTACGCTCTCTTCTCCAGGATCTGCTTTGCAGCTTTTTTAATGCAGTCATCCAGATTCTCGTCTGCGTCTGCCGAGAGACAGAAGGAAAGTTACCTCAAGTACCATAAAGAGCTTTCCTAAAGTGCTTTCCAAAAGCATTTTAGAATACAAACACAAGTGCCAAGAAATAATTTAACATTATCTTCTAAAAAAGACTGATGATTGCAGACTGAGTTGCACAGTGCAAATGCCTAATTGGTCAGTACTTAACCAAATAGGTCAAATACCTAATTGTTACCTAATTGTTACCTTGCATTATCCTTACACAAATACCTAATTGTTACCTTGCATTATCCTTACAGGACTAATTGCTACTGATAGATTTTATATTCCTCTCACAGCTGGGAAAAAAGAATCACCACAGTTTGTTTTATCTCTTAAATAAAGGGTCTATTTTCAACGGGTACCAGTTCTGTCCCTCATTGAGGTAAAAGCAGAGCAAATTGATTCTGCTGGTCACATCAAAACCACTTTTGATTAGGGTCTGTGAAAGCCTGATTAGTGTAACGTTTATTTTATTTTATGGAACTTACATTTTTCTAATTGAGCCATGGCGTAATTGTTCTTGAAATATGCTTCTGTGCAGAAGATATTGGTAAGAAGCACCTGAGAAAACAGTAGAACTCAGTTGAAAACCAGTAAATGAGTTTCACACACAAACACTGTAGTAAAAATACAGTAATTTAAACTTCTGGGAGTCTGGGTTTGTCTGTTGGTAACGGAGTCCCACAGCTGGTCGTGTACCCTGTGAGCTTGGCTGTTGTTTCTCCCCACAGCTGCCCGGTGCCCGAGCTGGGGTGACCCCTTCCCTCAGAACTGGCTTGAAGATGGTGTTGGTAATAAACCCAGAAGGGGCTCCCACACAATGTCACACAAAACATGAAGTCTGGAGGCCAGTGAAGACAAAGGTTCATCAGTCTGGATTTGACTAACACTTAATTGTACCAAATCTCCTTGCCCTGCAGTGTAACTGTTACCACGAAACTGTGAGCGAGGTGCTGCGCCATCTCCCGTGTGACAAACTGCCCCTCTGCTGTCAGTGAAGTCACTGTCCAAATACTGCTGTCACTGCACAGTGCTATTTAGTGATGGTTATATGGGCAGAGTTTGGGAGGCACTGCTGGTGTTTATTAGCAGGTTTAAGCAGGTGTTGTTCATCCCTGAAGGTGATGTGTTGTTAAGTGTCCAAAACACTCTGGCAGCAGCCGCCGGGAGGACTCGCTGTGCTCCCTGCGCTCCTGCTCCAACCAGGTCTGTTCCCTTCTGCTGCACCCTGGGTTTGACAGGAGACTTTGTTAAGAATCTGTATCTCCCACAGCAAAGGCAGAGTCTACTTCTAAGTGTAACGAAAGCTGATTGTTATTGAGGTTTTGCAAACTCTGCTGGGGCACAACTCAGAGTCCAGGGGAGGTTGCTCGTCCAGGCAAAGGAGCTGGTGGGAACCTTGTAAAAAGGAGGAGTCTGATGGGGACAGTGCCTCTCACACGACACTTGGTGAGGCAGAGCAGTAATAAATACTGATTATTACGCTTACACAATCCAAGGACTGATACCAAAGTGCACCTACTTCATGGTCGTGGTTCCTCAGCCCGATGCTGATGGACCGGCTCGCTCTGGAAATGGCTGCGGTCATGGCGTATAGATTGATGACGACATCTGCCACTCTCTTCAGCACCAACTGCTCATCCACTATGGTCTAGAAGAGTAAAACAATGATTATTAGTTTGTAGTTCGTCAATTTAAAACTTTAACCAAATGTTTTTCTCATACTTTGTATTTAGAGCCATACTTATTTAGCACAGATGGGTAAGCTGGTACATAGAATTTCTACCCTCAGACAGAAAGTTTTGGATTCCTCAATGCTCTGCCTTTTAACAGTTTTGCATTAACTATGCTTAAACTATGAAGTTTTGGATTTACTACCTTCCACCTTCTAACAAACAGTCTCTCTGGCTGCAGCCAGAATTGCTGCACCTTGAAACTGCTCTGGTAAATGCCAAAATCACTGAAATTAAAAGTACCAAACAGATCGAGCCTGTTCAAAAAATGTAGGTGGAGCCTGGTCTGGTAACACAGCGAGCACTTAAAATAGTCACTGGAGCCAACCAAACAGATCAAGCCTGTTCAAAAAATGTAGGTAAATTGGAACGTGGTGGAGCCTGGTCTGGTAACACAGCGAGCACTTAAAATAGTCACTGGAGCCAACAGGATTTTTGCCTACAGAGGGAGAAGAAAACAATTTGTGCACCAAGATTGCTGGTTTTGGGGGTTTTGACTTTTAACATAAATGGTCCTTTACACTGAGTCCAGAATGTCTGTGTATTTTCTCATGGAAATGTGTTGTGTAAGAGAAGTCCTGGCTCGTGCCGTACACGCCCTCCGCTCCAGAGCCCAGCCAGGCCAGTTCCTTGAGGATAAAATACCCAATAGTGAAGATAACAGTAAAAACCAGGAGTTACCTTGCCAAAGCGACTCAGCAGGCCTCTCACTGTAGTTCCAAAATAATGAACATTTTCTTCAAGTTTCTTGCTACTTTCCTTAAAAATAAAACAGAAAATAGGACAATTTGAGGAGTCTTTTAGGGGAAAACCCAAATACACCCTCATCCCCTTGAACAGGACACTGCTAAACCACAAGCACAGGAATGGGAGTATAAAAATGTTGGTTCTTTTCCAAGGGAGGGGGGGAAATATAAAAAAAAATAAATCAGGGTTTAGCTGCAGCCCTGGTATCCTGAAGCCCAACTAATACTAGATTGTCTCTTGGCAAGGACTGGCTTTAACACCCAGTTTGCTGCTGAAATCCAGAGGCATTATCCTTGCTCTATAAAATATGCCTTAACATTTTCTAACTTTTACTGTTGGTAACTTTTCAGAATAGTCTTTGTGCTTATGCAAATAAGTCTGAAAAATTCTTATGTAACGCAATGGCCCAGCAAACCTAATGCTTATTCTAAGCGCAGGAGGTTCTGAAAACCCTGAAAAATCACAATTCTCTGGTAGTACTGTGTGAATGCACCAATAGTCTCAAAGCCTGGTATAAAGCAGGAAAAAAATTTCCAGAGTCATATTTGGCTTTTGATTTGTAAACACAACTAATTCATTATGCTGATTCTGGTAGTATGAAGGTAAGTAAGTGGGTGTGAAGCTGCAGTGTGTCACCAGCATTACCCAGTCCCAGCAAATCCTCTGACCTTGTGCCCAAAATACCTGCCCTGGGCACAGGTACCGCTGGCGGGGCGGGGACTGTTCCTCAAATCCCTAACTAAACATCACGGGGAAAACACACCTTATCTTTTTGGTATCAACAGAACGTTCATCTTTGGTCATAAACATGACTTACTGAGTGGTTAAGAAATATATATAGATAGTTCACAGAAACTCTCACCTAAACGACTTACTGAGTGGTTAAGTACATATGTATAGATAGTTCACAGAAACTCTCACCTAAACCTGTGTTACTATTGAACAGGGAAAAATACTGTGCTTTGTAACTGACCTTATTGTGAAGGGCAGCAACACACCGTTACAGAGACTCTAATACCGTGAAGGCTGAGTTTATATAAATTACTAAAATGGCAATAAACCTGGATTTGGTGTAAATACAGCCTGAGAGCTGTCTTCATTTATATTGATCTGTACCCACGTAATACCTGTAACTGAGTCCCTACCCCTGAAAAGGTGGAAGCATCTGCTTCAATGTGTAACTCTCTGTCCCTAAGCACCTGTCCTGTTCTGCATAACCAGGGGTCTGGGCACCAAGCACTGAAGGAACCAGGGCTGAGAGACCTGAGTGTCCCCGGGCACTCACCTGCAGGCTGGGGTGCACCACCCCGCCGTCGCCCGCCAGCCCATAATCCACTTTTCTGCCCATCGTGTCCCGTAACCTGTTGAGGAACTCCCCCAGCGCCACGCCCACGTTCCCCTTCTTGATTTCTCTGAAAGGTTGGGCAAACAGCAGCTTCAGAAGGTTCAAATAATCAAGTGAAATTCTATTTGCTTTACCAAAACCCCTGCAGTTTCTCTATGAGTCACCAAGGCTTATGAGCCATTTTACTGTGAAATCTGGAGAACAACTCCAGATGTTGTGTGGAAACACACAACATGGTTCGTATTTGGTTCCTCTACAATACAGCTGTCCTACCAATAACACTTTCTTATAAAATCTTAATTAGTTACTGGTCTTGTAAAAAAGAATTTTACACAAGCCAGAATTGTAAGATAAAATACAAAGGCCAAAATTCCTAAATCCATAAAACACCCAATTTAAAAGAAAAAGAATGCTTTAAGATTGAACTATTTTTTGAGACATATAATACACTTGAAAATATTGCAGGTTTTTTCCTAGTTTCCCCATCTTATCTATAATTAAACAGTTATCAGATTGTTTCGTTTATTAAAAATATTAGCAATAAATAAGAACATACTTAATTTTGTCAGTTAAGATTTTGCCTGCATATTGCATACCCGTCAAAGCAATATACAGTCGCAGAATTTCATTTGTTCCCTGGAAAAAACATAACACAAAGTGAGGTCAGTATCAAGTACAAAGTATTTTCAGTACTTAAATCTAGATACGCTGTGCTAACATTTTGTATACTTTTTTTTTTCCCCCTAAAACTGCTCTTAATGTCTAAAGGGTCAAGGATACTGAAGCACAGGCTAAAGACTCTATTAATTTTTTCTTTTAAAAGTATACGTGTAAATTTGAAGACAGGTTCTTTAGTGAACTATAATGTTTACAATAGGTCAAGGATACTGAAGCACAGGCTAAAGACTCTATTAATTTTTTCTTTTAAAAGTGTATATGTGTAAATTTGAAGACTGGTTCTTTAGTGAACTATAATGTTTACAATATTAATGAGTGTTTTCCAAGCGGGTCTGTTTGGCCAGTCTTCCCTTTCTCTTGTTCTAGTATTAAAGGATTTCTCTTCATCCATCCATAGATGTTTGCTGTCTTTTATCCCAATCACAGATTCTGAGTCCATTTACCTGTGAAGAAGTCGAGCCCCTTGTTATTACACACAGGTACCACAATGAAAAATAAACTAGACTAAGTGCATTTTGAGTAAAAAAAAAAAAAAAGCAGCTAAGTTCTGCATTGTTCCAGTAAAGGAACATTGAAATAGTTGTCAAACTGCCTGTTTGACAGTAATCACAGACGAGACAATTAAGCTGATCCTGTACAATTTGACGCCTGGGAATCCATTCTGTGGCTGAAGAAGACAGACCAAACCAGAGAAGGCTGAAAAGCACCCAAGTATCAGCTCAGTGTCAAATCCGTCACGAGGCGGTGACAGACGAAGGGACAGAGGTGACAGCCCAAAGGTGTCTGTCTGTTCCCAGGCTCAGGAGGTGCTGGGGGGGCACAGGGACAGCCCCCAACAGCCCCAGAGCCAGGACACGGCCTGTCCTTGGCTGCATTTAGCTCCTCTGCTGGCAGGTCCCCGACAACAGGCCAAGGCAAACAGCGAGGGGAGGCACAACCTCCTCCTTTCAGCAGAAAAGCAACTTTAAACATTGGGATCAGTGAGAAAAATGAGCTGATTTACAGGAATTCCAATGGGGTGGTGTTTTGTTTTTTTTTTTAAAACAAGGCTTCTTCCAACCTGCCCGATGTGAAAGGTCTCCCTTGCTTCAGCCAGTCCAGCCCAGCGCTCCTGACACCAGCTGGGGTGGCACTGCTCGGAACTGACCAACATCACACCCCGCAGGACGCAGCAGGGTGACCTGTGGAGGGCTGGTTTTGCTCTCTGATCCATACTAGAACTGACTCTTCCTACTTACAGGAGACAAACACACCCGTATTTGCAAAAGCAGCTCACAAATAGATACTGCTGTGTGTGAAAATTGTCACTTGCATTAATTTGCAGCTGAGACTCTGCTGTCCTGACACCGGGAGGTAAAAGAACCTTTCCACATGGTCCATCAAGAAAAACCAAGCCTGTGAGTCTGACTGAACGGTCACTGAAAATCCAGAATACATTTCACAGCCAACAGATTTTTTTTTTTTTTTAAAAAAGCATATCAATAAGTTAAAACTCCTAAATTAATCTTTTGTGAGTTTCCCTACTTTGCTTGGGAGAAGCAGACAAGAGGAAAGGCTACTCAAGTCAAGGTACCAACAGAGCAGCTCAGCCACAAAATAAAAATTAGAAAATCCTATTAGAGAAATCTGCTTAAAGATTAAAATTTGGCCCATACCTCAAACCAAACCCTCCCGCTCGCACCAGCAGGGCCACAGGAGAATAAAGGCAGCAAAGAGGGTTTCAGAATGTGCTTGCCCCAAAGCAAGATTGTCAGTTTCCTCTGACAAGGCTCTCCTTAGGGACCCAGGGATGCCAGCCCGAGCCAGCACACGCTGTTACAGCCCCTTACTGAACATCAGCCAATGGGTTACTTTTGTCAACTAAAACAGTTTTAGGCTTTTATGCTAATTTAGAATCCTTTAGTCTGCTCAAAACAACAGCAAACTGAAGCCCTGAACTGGGACTGGTTTTTCGCACGATGGTGCATTTAAAACAGCTGCATGTTTTATTAAAAACATCCAGAAAGTTTCTAAATACTGAAGAAACTGTACACACACTACCAGCACGTGTACCCAGAACTGTGTACACACTACCATGCACATACACTACCAGTTTGTTCTTTGCAGAGGCAAAGCTGGCGCCAGCTCCTCCAGCAACTCACACTTTGTGGTTAGTCTACAGAAGCCACCTTATTTTATTTTAGGGGAGTACTGTCCATATCTCCAAAGCAAACAAAATTAGTTCTTCGGTCTTATTCTATTACAGACTTTGCAGCTAAAGACAGGAAGGACCCTTCCGCTGAGCACTGGGGTTTCGGCTCAGGGCGAGTGTGAGCTTCAGTTCACAGTAAAACCAGTAGGTCGGTACTTGCCTCAAAAATGAGCAGTATCCTGGAGTCTCTGAGGTAGCGCTCGTAGGGGTAATCCTTCATGTAGCCAAGGCCACCCAGAATCTGCAGCGCTTCGCTGACACAAGCCCAGGCACCTTCAGAGCTGAACACCTGCCCGTCACAGCGGTTCAGTCAGGGGAGATGCAGAGCACACCGCTCCGCGACGCTGCTGTAACGCCCCGTACGGCTGTCACACCCCTCCTGCTACAGCCCGAGCTCCACCACCCCCCAAGGGAACACTCCCGGGGGCACCGGGGCTGCAAGCAGAGGGAGCAGCTGTGGCTGCTTGGCTGGAGCCCTCCCCTCCGCCCGGATTCAGCGGGACAGGAGTCCTCTCAACCCACCCCATGGAACCAGCAACGGGGCTGGAACCGGCTGGAAAACCAGGAGGGTGTCAGCCTGTGCCAGCTTGAAGCCGTGGGGGAGTCCCCCAATAAAAAGCATTACCTTGACCATGGCTGCCTCCACGGAGCAGTCGGGGAAGCCGGGCCTGTCCATCATTCCTGCCGTGAGGTAAGCCATGCTCTCCATCACATAGGCCTTCACGGCCATCAAACAGAACTTCTCCTGCCAAACAGCAACCAAGGAACCGCACAGTCATTCAGGTGCCAAACCCCACACTCAAGCCTGAAACTTAAAAGCACAACTGCAGTTTTCCTGCGTTTAACATATGATGAAATACTAACTAATCAAAGCTACTACTGCAAAACAATCTCAAAAAATTCTACCCTTATTCATTACATTTACCATTCTAGACATTTAAAAGATCAGTGAATAGAAGTCTGTGCTAGGATTACACGATTTAAATACCTCCAGCCATCTCTTTGAACCAGCACAGCCAAAAGAACCCCCACCAGAACCTACGTTCTTGCACTGAGTCAATACAAAGCACAGAGATTTAGTTTATTACCTGAATTAATCCAAATTCGCTCAGTTTCTTGTTGAATTGTTTCCGGGTACAAGCATACTCTGCTGTCATTTCTTTGAAACAAAACAAAAACAAAACCCCAGTATATAGGCTGTTGTCTTAGGAAGAACACTTTACCTCAGAAAAATTAAATAGAGGCAATAACTTTCCACTACAGGAACTGAAAAAACTTCAGTGTTAAACCACTGTAAAGAGGCTTTTAATATAAATTTTAAATAAAAATATTTTCATTTTTTTAAGAAGCCAAAGCATGTTACGAGTGCCAATACAGCGATGTTGTTACGACCGAAGCTCCTGTTCCCACTCTGAACCAAGTGTGTGATGCACCCCGGGCAGGTGGGTTTGTGCACACACCCAGGGCCCCACAGCCCCCAGTCATGTTCCTACATTTTAATGATCCACCCCGGGCAGGTGGGTTTGTGCACACACCCAGGGCCCCACAGCCCCCAGTCACCCACCTATCAGTTTTTTAATCATTCCCGCCGAGGCGCTGCCCATGCTAAACCTCCCACTGTTCAGGATGTTCATGGCAACCTGTGAAGGAAAGGAGGGGTGTTCAGGCCCTGTTGTCGCCCCAACCCTCCTCCTGGGGCCACGCTGGCCAACCCCGTCTTGCTGCATCTTTCGGGGCTTTCCTGGATGTCATTTGTCACTGGGACACGCTCCCCGTCCTGAGACCCGCCTCACGCCCGCCAGCACGGCAGCCAGAGCCCCAGCAATAACGCTGCAGAACTTCAAAATGCTTTTCAGGTGACCTACCAGGGCCAATTCCCTACTCCAAACAGTTTTCAGATGCTGATGAAGCAGTGACCTGGAAGTAAATCCTCCATTCAAAGCGCATTAAGGTAAAACGCGGATAAAAAGGCATCTATCTGCAACTCCACACACAGCGCTGCTGGATTTTAGCAGATGCAGGAGAAAAACAGAATATTGCTTAAGCCCAGGCTAAACATCTTCTCTGCAGCTGCCCTGCGAGACGCTCTCCTGCCTCACACCTTTCAGCAACGCGCAAGATGAGAACAAGAAAGAAAGGTGTAGAAATGAAATACAGATCAGTAATCTAGAAAAATTCATTCTGAAATCTAGTATTGCTGTTTCTTACCAAGAGAATCCTGGGTGACTCAGTTCAAAGACTGTAAAGAAATTTAGCAAGAAGTCACTGTTCCTACATTTTAATTTGTGGTAATTATCTGAAGAAGAAATCAAAAAATCTTCTTTTAATATGCTTACTAGAGAAAAGAGAACTGTTTTGTTTGGCATTTAGGCCTGGACTTCCCAGCTGCAGGAGGAGTAAGAAAATGGAGAGGGACCACTAAGAAGAGTTTAGCAAAACCAGAGGTTGGGCTCAGAGAAAGGTCACAGCAGCAGGGTGACCCGCGGTGGCTTTATGGCTGTCACTCCTCTGGCACAATGAAGAGAACTTCAGGCTTCTCCTGGTGTTCTCCAACACAGGAAAACCACCTGAGAGCCCCGGGGCCTTGGACAGGGTCTGCATCTCCCTCAAACCATTGCCTGTTCTTTCTCTCCCTTTCTGCACAGGCCACAACTCTGCCTGTAGGGAAGAGCAGCAGCAGTTTCCCCAATTCAATTCAGACGTTCTGCTGATCATTGCCTGTTCTTTCTTTCTCCCCCTTTCTGCACAGGCCACAACTCTGCCCATAGGGAACAGCAGTAGATGTTTCCCCAATTCAATTCAGACGTTCTGCTGAGAAAGCTGCTCCCTTTTCTGAAGGGAACAGGACACCAGGAAAAACAATAAAAAGCCAAACAAGCAGCGGAACCAGCTCTGTAATTGTGTTGAGAAGAAATACATACAGATCTGGAATTACAGAATGACATGGGGTTGGAAGGGACCTCTGGAGATCATCTAGTCCAACCCCCTGCCAGAGCAGATCCACCTGCTTTGGGCACACCCGAATCAGGGCACGCTTGTGAACGGCAGCAGTGAAACCAATTAACACACCACAGATAATGTAAACTGAGCAGTGCATCCTCCAGTGTTCTCCAGTTTGGGAATACTCCTATTACCACTAGGGAAACCTGAGTACAGAAAAAAAACCCCACCAAAAGTCTCCTTCAGGCTTTTCAAAATCATCAGTAGTTATTGTTATTTCTTACCTTAAATCCCCCTCCTACTTCTCCAATTACATTCTCAATAGGCACTTTTGTGTTTTCAAAATGTACTTCACAAGCTGAAACACAGAGTTAAGGGCTGGTGAATTATTATGTAGATATATTTCAAAGACATTCAGGAACAAAACTCATTCGCTTCGTAACAAGAAGCAGTTTTCCTACTGCATTGTTTATGACAGAATTACAGGTGCTTTGCCAAAGAAGTTAGAATTTGGGAAAAGACTGTGGCTGACATCAATTATTGATGTCAAATACTCAAAATATAATTAATATACACAGTGTAAACAGAACTATAGGTTTGTTTCTATTTTAAGGTGCTGACAGAGCAGTCAAGTCCCAATGAATACACATGACCTAAACAAATAAAAACATTAAAACAATTTCTGTTAACAATTTTAAGTGATTCTTACTATTGGATCCTCGAATGCCCAACTTATCCTCAGGTTTCCCATGGGTGACTCCACCAAAGTCCCGCTCTACGATGAAAGCAGTAATTTTGTCTTTGAGTTGTCCATCTTTATCAACAACCTCTGTCCTGGCAAACACCGTGAAGATATTTGCGAGGCCACCGTTCGATATCCACACCTGTTTTGAGAGAGGAGAGATGTGTCAGAAATACATTTGTTCTGGTTTTGTGAGCACTGTTCTTCAGTGTTTCACAATAAACTAGCAAAGGACAGAGTGGTGAATAATTGCTGCTTCTTCCCTTAGATCTAACGAGTGTTCTGCTGTTAGTTTTGCCTCTTGTGAACGCACTTCCAAGGAAAGCTGACCACAGAATGGTCAATTTAGAGCAGCTATAAAAATAGGCTGCAATATAGACTTGAATTAAATTACAATCCATGGTGTGTTTTCACAAAAGCTTGTAAATCCTGCTCTCGTGGCACGTGAGGGACACAAGGGGAACACAGAGCATAGAACCACTTTGCCCAGAATAATTTCAGCCGTGATGAGGAATTCTCTGCATCAGGCCATGTCCCTACGGCCTCTCCCCCTGGATGGGGCTCTTCACATCTCAGACTGATGCAGCAACAACCGCAGATCAGTCTGCAACCTATGAAATACTGCTGAACCCAGGACATCTCTGTGTCTCTTTAAGATTGCATTTTGTCATTGTTTCTTTTAGAAACGTTCTGAGCAGCCCTATTTCCTATTCATTGTCAGGTTTTCCTTCAAAAATACCTATAAAATCCTGCCCGAAGAATGAAGAAAGGGGAAAACACAGTTTCAGGTTTCTTTTTGCTCACAAAGCTGAGCCCCATGAGCTGTGATGGGGCCCCAGGAACGGCTGCTCCTGTCCTTCTTACCAAGAGTTTGGTGAAGGTCATTCCCTGAACATTGTGCTTTTCTATTCTCTTTGGTGGGTTCTCCTGCTGACATGGGCATTCTCCACTAGCTTGGAAACCTCAAAGTTCGGGTGCTGCCGCCCAGGGAGTCTCTTACAGCAAAACAGAGAGATGATTTCTGTAAACTTGTAACAAAACCCCGTCACATCTGCAGCCTGTGAGCGGTACCTTGGAGCCATTTAATAAGAAGGATTTCCCATCTTCACTGAGGGTCGCTCTTGTCTGGATGGAGGCAGCATCACTTCCACTAAAAGCCAAACAAGTTATTAACGTTTAAAGAAACAAACATGCTTTAAAAAACGAAACGTAATCTCTTCCCATCCTTTCAAAAGGAATGTTAAGAGCTGTATTAAACAGTAGTAGATAAATTTTAGTTTTTAACTAACAAGGAAATCTACTAGATTGATCAGCTGTAAAGAAACCTACTTCAGTTCCCTGCGGGGCCATTTCTACTGACTAACGTGTATGTTATCAATCTTATCACCTGACCACAACGTTCAGAATGGCACGTAAACAACTTTTTTGAGCTACACGTTGAGCTCTGTGAGCACACAGTGAATCTGTCATCCTAAAACACAGCCAAGTTTTACATGTCTAGGTTGTTCCTCAAGAAAGGCTCAAGAGAAACGAGGCATAAACGTAGCGATCTCTATCAGTGAGCACCTGGGCACATCTAATACTTTCTTTCTAAAGTGAATTACAACAAAGCTATCAAAAGTTTACGTTCTGTTCACACCCTCTCTTGAATCCTCCTCATTACACAATTAAGCAGCAGCACATCATCTCCCCCTTGAAAGAAGCTTCCTCTTCCACAAATCAAACACCCCAACAGCTCAATCGGGGCTTCTGGCTGAAGACAGTTAAGTTCTTGGAAGAGCGGGTATGTTAATAGTGTTAAATTGCTAAAATACAGTTATAAAAATGATTGCTTCTGTGCACTAGAACTAAAGCTGCTAAGAAGGCTGAAGTTAAAGTTACTAAGACCAGTAATCTTTTTAAATAATTCTGGGCTAAATAAAGAAGTTAGAAGAATTTTGGAACACAGTTAGCCCTTGGGTTTTTTCCTGTGTGTTACTTCCAACTCCCTTCCACAGATCACTGTTAAAGCACCAGCACCAGTGTCAGTGTGACCTGCGAGTGGGACAGCTTTCAGAGAGTCACAACTGGGCTTAGGGCCCTTGAAAACCCATGGCTGAGGCTGGGGGGAACCCACATCACAGCAGCACGAAATGAGGGAGTACACCCAATGCTCCCTGCGGGCCACTCCAGCCCACAGGAATCCAGGAAAGACAGGTTCAAACTATGGTTTTCTATGGACAAGTGAGATTCAGCTTCAAACATTCAACCGGTCTCAGCCCTTTACTCAGTTTCCTTCACAATCATGTAATAAACCCTCTGCCTGTATGTGTTTAAGAAAACTGCACCTCTTCTGCAATAACAAAGTTTGCAACATTAGCAACAGTCAATGAATAAACACAATAAATATAACTTTATCTTTGAAATTATGTTGCTGCTACAAATACATCTTTTTTAAACTCTAAGGAAAGACCAAAATTTCTTCCTATTGTTTTGTTTTTGGCAAGCTCCTTCAATACAGGCTTTTATAAGTTTGAAAAAGAACTGAAAGCATCCCAGAATCACAGCCCATTATTTCTAACCAAGCATAAAGTACCCTTTTGATGCATATTCAGTAGCACCAGAAGCGCAGTGGATGACTTCCTGGGATGGGAACAACACTTAGTGATTTCATGGAAACCACCATAAGCAGCACATTGGGAAAAGACTTATTTGATATTACATGATTTGAAGTGAACACTTAAAAAAAACAGAGAAAGAATTGACCTATATGGTCACAGAGTGACCATAGACACCAAATAATAAAGATTTAATATATTAACCCATCACTTTAATGAAGATTAAAATACTTTAAAAAAAATATTTGGTATATATTTGGTGTTTTGGTGTTTTCTGAAGCTTTTATGGTTACAAACGCAGTACCTTCCAGGCTCTGTGAGGCAAAAAGCTGCGATGTGCTCCCCAGACGCCAGCCTCGGCAGGTACTTTGCTTTCTGCTCATCAGTGCCCGCAATGAGGATTCCCTAAATAAAGAATTAACAGAAAACCTTTCAGCATCAAAGAAACAAAGCCAAGAAGGTTGATTTGCAAATTTTATGGCATAACAAGAGAGAGTTCAATAAACAATAGACATTATTATTTATCAGACATGAGAGTATGTCAGTTATCACACAGTTTCCAATGCCCACAGGCAACGGGTGACTACTCAGGCTGCTTCTGGGGTACACTTCACTGTGTTTGTGCTCTAAGTGAAGACTTCACTGTTGCTCTGAAAGGCACTGAGATAGTCCTTCCTTTATAATTTGTCATACCTTCATTACTATCACTAGCATTTTATTTTAATAACCTCAAAACCAGCAATTTTCGAAGCTCCTAATGAGAGACCAGAACACACCATTCACTTGGGTTCCAAATCATTTCCTCACACAGGCACTTACTCTCATTATCTCTGTTGGACTGTGTTATCAATCTTATCACCTGACCACAACGTTCAGAATGGCACGTAAACAACTTTTTTGAGCTACACGTTGAGCTCTGTGAGCACACAGTGAATCTGTCATCCTAAAACACAGCCAAGTTTTACATGTCTAGGTTGTTCCTCAAGAAAGGCTCAAGAGAAACGAGGCATAAACGTAGCGATCTCTATCAGTGAGCACCTGGGCACATCTAATACTTTCTTTCTAAAGTGAATTACAACAAAGCTATCAAAAGTTTACGTTCTGTTCACACCCTCTCTTGAATCCTCCTCATTACACAATTAAGCAGCAGCACATCATCTCCCCCTTGAAAGAAGCTTCCTCTTCCACAAATCAAACACCCCAACAGCTCAATCGGGGCTTCTGGCTGAAGACAGTTAAGTTCTTGGAAGAGCGGGTATGTTAATAGTGTTAGATTGGGCTTCTGGCTGAAGACAGTTATTAAGTTCTTGGAAGAGCGGGTATGTTAATAGTGTTAAATTGCTAAAATACAGTTATAAAAATGATTGCTTCTGTGCACTAGAACTAAAGCTGCTAAGAAGGCTGAAGTTAAAGTTACTAAGACCAGTAATCTTTTTAAATAATTCTGGGCTAAATAAAGAAGTTAGAAGAATTTTGGAACACAGTTAGCCCTTGGGTTTTTTCCTGTGTGTTACTTCCAACTCCCTTCCACAGATCACTGTTAAAGCACCAGCACCAGTGTCAGTGTGACCTGCGAGTGGGACAGCTTTCAGAGAGTCACAACTGGGCTTAGGGCCCTTGAAAACCCATGGCTGAGGCTGGGGGGAACCCACATCACAGCAGCACGAAATGAGGGAGTACACCCAATGCTCCCTGCGGGCCACTCCAGCCCACAGGAATCCAGGAAAGACAGGTTCAAACTATGGTTTTCTATGGACAAGTGAGATTCAGCTTCAAACATTCAACCGGTCTCAGTCCTTTACTCAGTTTCCTTCACAATCATGTAATAACCCTCTGCCTGTATGTTTTTAAGAAAACTGCACCTCTTCTGCAATAACAAAGTTTGCAACATTAGCAACAGTCAATGAATAAACACAATAAATATAACTTTATCTTTGAAATTATGTTGCTGCTACAAATACATCTTTTTTAAACTCTAAGGAAAGACCAAAATTTCTTCCTATTGTTTTTGGCGGCTCCTTCAATACAGGCTTTTATAAGTTTGAATAACTTTATCTTTGAAATTATGTTGCTGCTACAAATACATCTTTTTTAAACTCTAAGGAAAGACCAAAATTTCTTCCTATTGTTTTGTTTTTGGCAAGCTCCTTCAATACAGGCTTTTATAAGTTTGAAAAAGAACTGAAAGCATCCCAGAATCACAGCCCATTATTTCTAACCAAGCATAAAGTACCCTTTTGATGCATATTCAGTAGCACCAGAAGCGCAGTGGATGACTTCCTGGGATGGGAACAACACTTAGTGATTTCATGGAAACCACCATAAGCAGCACATTGGGAAAAGACTTATTTGATATTACATGATTTGAAGTGAACACTTAAAAAAAACAGAGAAAGAATTGACCTATATGGTCACAGAGTGACCATAGACACCAAATAATAAAGATTTAATATATTAACCCATCACTTTAATGAAGATTAAAATACTTTAAAAAAAATATTTGGTATATATTTGGTGTTTTGGTGTTTTCTGAAGCTTTTATGGTTACAAACGCAGTACCTTCCAGGCTCTGTGAGGCAAAAAGCTGCGATGTGCTCCCCAGACGCCAGCCTCGGCAGGTACTTTGCTTTCTGCTCATCAGTGCCCGCAATGAGGATTCCCTAAATAAAGAATTAACAGAAAACCTTTCAGCATCAAAGAAACAAAGCCAAGAAGGTTGATTTGCAAATTTTATGGCATAACAAGAGAGAGTTCAATAAACAATAGACATTATTATTTATCAGACATGAGAGTATGTCAGTTATCACACAGTTTCCAATGCCCACAGGCAACGGGTGACTACTCAGGCTGCTTCTGGGGTACACTTCACTGTGTTTGTGCTCTAAGTGAAGACTTCACTGTTGCTCTGAAAGGCACTGAGATAGTCCTTCCTTTATAATTTGTCATACCTTCATTACTATCACTAGCATTTTATTTTAATAACCTCAAAACCAGCAATTTTCGAAGCTCCTAATGAGAGACCAGAACACACCATTCACTTGGGTTCCAAATCATTTCCTCACACAGGCACTTACTCTCATTATCTCTGTTGGACTGATTTTTTGTAAGTAGGCTTCTTATAAAGGACAAAAAAATTCAAAAGTACATAATAAAGCTAAATAATCAATGGTGAAATAGCTAAGATACAGTCACTCAACAAAACCAGGATTAACCCAAACTGCAGGAGTAGCAGCGGTTGTGTCTTACACAGCACTTCTCACCAGACCACTTCACAAACCAGCTCAGCTCACTGGCCCTGTTCTCCAGATGGTGAAATGTTAAGTAAGGTGAGGAATAAATACATATTTTTAATTAGCATTATCTGCTCAATTCCGTGAAGATTTTTTTCATTGTTATAATGAACTTACTGCTGGTTCAAGCTTCAGGCTACCACCATCCATCCACCACTAAAAGGCACATACTCAAGGCTGCATTATTGGGAGAAGAGTTTAAAATTCCCACACTTGCTATAGAGCACTGATCCTGGATAAGTTTTCCTCTCTAAGCTCTTCATATTCCATCTTTATGCTGCACTGAGACCTTACACTGAGTTGCTGGCAGAGGGTGCTGGGCATTCCAACAGAGTGTCCCACCCGATTTTTGCTTCACTGCCAATTCTCATTCGTTACTCTCACACTCCACATTTTAACAAACTCCACCCCACAAGTTGTGCAGAACGACTTGACGTGGAAGCGGAGCATTACCTTCAGCCCAATAGCCTGATGAGCTGCCAGCGTGACGGCGATAGATCCGTCTAACGAAGTGATTTCTCCCAGCCGCGCGTACATGGTGTTTGACAGACCAAGACCCCCTGGAACAAATACCACCTTTTATTCTGAGCACACACATCACAATTTAACCTGCCCTCTCCCCCCCGAAAATCCCTTTCAAGTACAGAAATATCAAGACTGTAACAGTTAACTGGGGAGTGTCCTAGCATAGACTGGACAGAAACAAGTACCGCGCTGCTGCAGTTGTGCCAGAAGAATCCACTGTGGAAACAATAACTTTTTAAATGTGTGAGCTGTGCTGGATGTGGTTCTGTTCAGGAAGCAGGTGTGTCTGTGTTCAAGCTGCCTGCATGTGCAGTAAATACACCATAACCCAGCAAACAGTAGAAAACAAGCTTGTTTTAAACGCTCTGTATGTGAAAAAGGGTAAAAGATTTGGTATAAAAATTGCTCTAGGCTGAATTTCTGCGCTTACGGGATAGGGTGAATTTTTGGGTGACATTTCCACACCGTGTTAGGAAGCCAGATAATTAACCCTGAGCAGGTGCAGGCCGAGCAGCAGAGGGAACGGGGCTGGACAAGCCCCAGGACAGACACAAGGACAGGCTGTCCCCAGCGTCACTGCAAGCCCAGCAAAGTGACCCAGACCACAAAACTGCCACAAAACAGCTCCCAAGCAGAATTCCAAACTGATACTGAAGAAGGATAAAATACACCACTTCAAAAATGTCTGTAATCAGAAACTGTGAATGTATCAAGAAACAAACTTGACACCAGCACACCCTTTTTGGGCAAATTTTGTGATCTGCTGCTGCAAATGAAGAGACTATTTGTAAGGAGCTCGATAAAACCAGCAGTAGGATAAATCAAAGCTGCATCTGTCTGAGTCTGATATTCAAGAATTTTTTGTCATTAGAAGTCCCAGTGTGAGAGTATTTGATGTATTACATCTGAGTAAACAACTTTATCTAATCAAGATAATCTTTTGTCCGGGTTAATAATCCTATACCTGGGACAGTGCTGTAATACAGTCAGGATAATTAATGCCTTATTTCAAGGATGTCTCAATACTCTGCTATTTTACTCATACCAAATAAATGCCAGGACAACTCTCCCCAATACCATTCATCCACGTCACCGCCTCTTACACCCTTCCCCTTCAGAGTGTGCCTACACGGATTAAAACTCCCACTCCTAACTATCACTCTTCCTTCTTTTCCCCTTTCTAAACGGTGCTGGACTCAGGATTCAGCTCCTGGTGACGCGCACAGTAATTCAATGATGCCCATGACAAAGAGAGACATTAGTCCACGATTTACATGAGCTTCGTTTTTCCCATTCATGTTCTGCATTTTAATGCTTCTGGCAAATATGTCACTACTCCAAACCACTATGAAAAATACCAGGCAATGCACGAGGCACTGAATATGTGTGACTGAAGAGTTTTAAAATATGACAAGCACCACCCACAAAAACACAGCTGGATTAAACTACAGAAAACGGGAAATAACCTTGTTAGAAGTGTATTATTTATGAGGCAGAAAAAAAAATTGGCTTTCTTATAGCACAGTGACTGCTTTCCATCTTCTGTATTTTACCCAGCACACAGGCTTACAAGACAGCAGTACCATGACTTTCTACAGGTACGCTGAGTGGATTGCAGCCTTTGACAGGCTGGAAGCCAAGGGAGTATTATTTCATAAGCTTCAAAGCAACGCAAGACCAAACAACAATAACAGTTTATTAAAGTATGAATTCTACATCAAATACACTGCCTTTCAGAATCTTTAAAAAAAAAAAAAAATCAAGAGTGGGAAACTTATTTCCACTGAAACTATCTTCTGCAGATGGTCAAACACAGCTGTGTCTTCCTCTGAGTCACTCTCTTTAAAGTCATCTTCTTTTATAATAGACAACAGATAAGACAAGGATCTTATTTCTTTGTAAATTTCATGTAAAATACCAGTTTCGATCACAATTTTTATTTTATGCATAAGAATAAAATCACCATTTTCTTGAAAATTCCTTTGCAAGTTTAAAGAGAAACTAATGATCTCAATTAGCACCATGATGTCCTTTAAGACATAAATGTGAAGTGAATAGAAAAGATTTTTCACAAAAGCTATACTTGTAATGAATAGACTTTATACTTTTACACTTCTCTAAGGTCAAACACATTCCCATCTGCCAGGGACAGTTTGATAGATTGGTTCCATGAGACACGGCAGTTTGGACCCAGTATCATTTTAGGAACCACGAGCAAGAACAGCAAGTCCCATGGAATGTCACGCTGCTCTACTGCATCCGAAAAAAGAACAAGGAAAATGCTCTGCCAAGAGGACTTTACACCATCTAAAATTAGTTAGCTAACGTAGGTGCCCCAGGCAGGAGTACACAGGGCTCCTACAGAGCCATGCCCGGTGCCCCACAGCTCTTTACTAACCAGAGAGGAAGCCTCAGCTCCTCACTTAGACATCCAAGCCAAAGGACTACACGCAGGATAGTACAGACACATTCTGCAAGACCCCAAAATGCATTACTTCACGGACACTACTGGGTTATCCTTTTGCGATCATTCACTCACCATATTCCTCTGGAATCTGCATGCCAAAGAGACCCAGGTCCTTCAGTCCTTTTAAAGTTTCAGGTGGGATTTTTGCTTCTTGATCAATCTTCTTAGAGTCCACTACAAACACAGAAGGTTTTGTAATTTAAAACTCTTGTTTCTCAGTGCAGAAAAGGGCCCTGGGTCTGCAGCGTTCTCAAATGGAAGCCATGGTCACTGTGCCATGAGTGAGCAGCAGCGTGATCCCTCACCCAACGGCCAGACTCAGCGCCCAGACCCCAAGAACTGAGCTAAGGGACAGAACAAGGGGTGGCCGGAGCACCACGTCCCTCCCTGCTCTCAGCTTCCTCCCAGATTCTCAAGCATCGTTACAGCAGCCGTCACGCTGGCTGCAGCACACACAGACACACCTCTCATCCCAAGCTTCGCAAGAATTACCCTTCCTAGCTTCTTTCTCTCCTGTTTGCTCTCCTCCCACTGTGGCTGGAACAGTCCCAAACCCTGAGCTGGCTCCTGTAAGACTGATAACACAGCGGGGGGTGGGGGCTGTTTGCCTTGGCCTGACACCCCAGCCCGTCCTCCGCCCACAGAGTGAAAAATGATGATTTTCTGGCCTTTTGATGACAATCACACAGACAAGTCCTAAACATCGCAGCGGGAGGTCTCAATTCTGTTTCTGGAGAACAATGCTCCACTTAAGTAGCCCACTTTAGTATTCTTGGGACCTCCCATTTGGGTCCGGATTTTGACTTTGATGGTGTAATAATTATGGCTGTAAAGTCATGACATCCAGGAAAATGACTTGGAAGCAGGAAAACCCTGCTTTTTATTTCATTTTCTCAAACGTTTCTCTGTGTAAAGATTGTGCTCGTGCACGTTAGCAGATTCCATGGCTGGAATAAGCAAAGGATTTGCTATCTGAACTATGTCTAGGTCACAATAACAAAAGAAACACACACATAAATGAGTTAATTACAAAAATCTTATTCTCAGGAGTTATTAAAATTCTTGAGGGATTACAAGAGCTGTTCTGTACTGTGACACTGAAAATAAACAACAACTGTATTAAGCAGGTTGGGACGGGTGTAAGCTGCAGCAAGAGAAACACAAGCCATCTTTCCAAACACACAAAAAGAAGTAACTCTGCAAATTGCAAAAGCAATGGCACATTCCCAAAAGGAACTGAAATGACACTTTAAATTCTACATGGAATACAGCAGGGGGAGGCAACTAAGCATTCTGATGCTCTTCGAAGAGAAGTTATTCAAAAAGAAAATTTGTTTTAAAGAAGACTTTTCATTCCCCACACTGATTTTTTTAGCTACATGGTGCGATACACAGATAAGTGTTATGCCAACAGCCGTTCTGGGGAGAGAAAGGTGGTTTTTAAGCTCTTCCTCCATTGTGCCCCCCCAGACCCATGTGGGGTGTGTGGATGCTGCCACGGCCTCACCATGACTCTGCTGAGACCAGTCTCCTTACCCAGTGCCAAGCACATCAGGTTTCTGACTGTTTCTGACTGCTCTCCTAACAGGGGTGGACCACCCCCGTAAATGACCCTGGATAACTAAACAGAGATGGCTGTGAATTGACACAAAGATCAGCAATTTCCATCTTCGGTTAAGACTCTGTAAGTTGACTTTTTTTTTTCCCTCTCTCTTAAATATCAAGTTTTTTATTGAGTAAATGATGTTCCACAACAGAACAAAGAATTTGAAAGTGTAATCTGCATAAATTCTTAATTTATTGCTAGGGAGCAAGGTTACAATCTTATTGTTAAAATTACCTGGATCTCATAAATTGTTATCTGTGACAAACACAGGCTTCTTCGAACTCCTGCGGCATTTGGCAATCTAGACCTCCTACCTTTGTCAGCAGGAAATCTGAGACAATGCTGTTTAACTGTCCTAGAAATTGCCGTCTATAAAAACCAATTTTCTACAATTGTTCTAGAATTGGCTTTATCTGTTGCTCCGGTAATAGAAGAAACACCCTGCAACCCTGTCAGGAATGCACGTGGCTAATAGGTCTTTTCCCAAATTGAATTGCTGCTCTATTGCTGAAAAAACATAAATAGTTTTGATTTTTTCATCGCTTCTCAATGACTCACCAGTTATGAAGATCTCTGGTGAATTTTGCCAAACCCAGCTTTAGTACAGTAGGAGAATTAAAAAGTTTCAGAAAAAATTCACAATATATGAAGTGGTAAATAGCATTATTCAACTGAGCTAAAACCAATTTCAAGTCCTAGCTCTATGGAATTCTTTTAATTCCTGGGGTTTTTTTCTATTTATTTTTTTTCTGGTTTGAAGATTTATTTCTTCTCATCAGCATCCAAACAGTCCATATTAAAAAAGCCCCAAATGAACACGCCTATAGAATCAGCAGCACTGTAAGACCGACAATAAATGCTTAAGATAACTTGAATATTTAAAGTATAATAATCTTATTCAAGGGTTACAGTTAAATCAATCTAATCCTTAGATCACTTGCATGAATAAGAAACTAATGACGATACCTTCTTCATTGAAGAATTTTTCTACAGGTCCTACAAACTGGTTGATCTCCTGTAGTTCTTCATTGCTAATTTCTGGATAAGGGAAAACTTCTTCCTAAAATATGAGGCAAATACTTGTTTTATTTTTTTTATTTAAAAAAAAAAAAAGCATGAAGCATGCAATTGAAATAAAAAACTCAAAACCATGCACCTTTCAAATATTGGACTCTAAAGAACTGTGAAAATTAAGAATTGTGCAAAGTGTTCAGAAACAGCCTTATCCACAGGACTCGACTCTGCTACATGCCAAAATCCGATCAGAAGGTTATTAACCAAAAAACAGAAACAACGGGGAGAAACAGAGAGATTTTAAGAACTAAGAGGATGCAAAAATCCTTTATCAACCATTAATTTTGTCAGTGAAATACCACTTTGGGATTAAAAAAAAATGAGTTCATTTTAATTTGTATCAGAATCAATTTAGTGTTTTAATGTTTTCAAAGCTCAGCCCATAAACTGTCCCTTGGAAATGCACAGCACATTCCACCTGTCCCGTGTCCCTGGTACAAAGGTTAGTGAGTTCCATACCGCTCCTTATCACCTCCCGGGGATTTTGGTCATGAGCTGGGAGCAGGATGACCTGACAGGCTCAAATAAATAAAAAAATCCAAGCAACTAACACAAAAAGTAGAAGACTACATGAGAAGCGTGCTTCTAATTCTTATCATCTGTCCCCTATTAAATCAAAGAGTCTCCCTCTGCCCAAACAAAACTGTTTCATGACAGTCTGAAGAATCACATCAGCTCCAAAAATTCAGGATCTAGTCAATGCTACAGTTTCTCAGAAAACTGTTGTAGTGAAATTTGAGAGGGAAAAAAAAGGCAAACACAAACAGGGGTTTAATGTGATGGAGTCTGCCTGCTAACTATCATAACACCTGACTTGACAAGGTCTGTTTTGGGAGACCTTATTAACTCATTCCAGTGGATTTGAGGGATTCCTTCTTTCAATTTATTTAACTTTGCACTAACAAGTTCTAATACAGTGCTGCATCTCAAATTCGTAACTTCTTTATCCAGTGACATCTCAAGACACAACAACAACTCCAATCTTTCCTATAAACACCTGTAAGCAAAAGCTGACGTCAAGCCTCGTTCCCTGAAGTGACCAGAGTGTCAAACTGCCATGAGCTCTGTCCTACAGCCCAGCGCCAACAGACGTGTGTTTCTGTGGGGGACGTGCTGACCGTGCAGCAACAGGGGACAGCGGATTCAAGCGGCCCTTCAGACGCTGGAGGGCTTCTCTACCCTCGAGTTCTGCAGCTTTCCTACCCCCATCCCGCACAGCTGCAACCGGCTCCGCTAAGGCAACCAGCTTCACCTGAGGGGGGCCCGGCTGACACACCTGAGGGGGGGGGCCC